GATATATAGTTAATATTCCTAATTTCAGATACATGAATATAAACAGGATAATCATTTTCAGTTAATCATAACCTTTCCAATGATATTTCACATGACTTACCTTGCATAAACTACATCAGAATTATGCCATAATCACATCATAATATCACTGTGAAGAATATGGGGTGCAGTATCACACCTACCATGATAGGAGATTGTATTATCTTCCCTGAGCTTCCTGGGGCTATTAGGAGGCATGATATGTATATCATCGCTGGTCTAGCTATGCCTACTGCCTTCTCCCTCCCTGGGCTTGCAGAGAGCCTTCCATGGATCCAGGGGAAGGGGAGGATGTTGTCAGAGATGCAGCTGGACATCCCCTCCTCTGCCTCCTTCCGCATAGGGGGGAAGAGATACACATGCTGATGATCCCCTCTATGCATGGCTCTTCACTGTGTGTTCTTCTTAGCATATGCATAACGTGCCTCAGGTGGCATGTGACCAGGATTCATCACCGAATTTGATCTGCTGGTTGGATTGTTAGCTTCGCCGACCTTGGCCGGGTACTGATGGGGAGTGCGATGTGAACACTGATCCTTGCCCCCCACTGTGTGTTTAGGCCCATTGATATCTATGGCGTATGTCAGGGTTTCTCAAACTTCATTGCACTGTGACCCCCTTCTGACAACAAAAATTACTACATGACCCCAGGAAGGGGGTCCAAAGCCCAAGCCCTGTCATGCTGGGGGAGGGGTGTGTGCAAAGCCAAAGCCAGAGCCCTGCTGACATGGGGGAGGGGGGCAAAGCCAAAGCTTGAGGGCTTCAGCCCTGGGCAGGGGAGGTGGGGAGAGCTGTAACTTGAGCTCCAGTGCCCAGGGCTGAAGCCTGAGCCCCACTTTAGAAAATCAGCCCCTAAAATCTAGAGGACATTCTCCATTAGGTATAACAATTTTAAGGTATCATGGATCAAATTTTGAGTATAATTACTTTGTAGTGTCCCTTATATAAAGAAGCAGCATCACACACTGTTAAATGTTTTCTGGCTTTCCATGGTTTTATCATTGCATATCATGACCTTCACTGGTGAGCTTGTCAGCCAGAGATTAACAAGAAGATATCTCCTTCTATGCAGTTTCATGCAGAGCTGTGGCAGGGTACTGGATAAAATAAAATTAAAATGAGTAGTATCTCTGGGAGCTGAAACCAAAAAAAAGGAAAATGCCTTTAAGAGGCTATGTGAGACTTCTTGGGGGCAGGGAAGCAGCTGAGCCACAGTTAATCTGAAGGGATTTATAAAACTGAGAGTAAAGGCGCTTCTGTTAAAAATCTCACTGGTAATATGGAGCTTCCAAGGAAGATCTTGAGGCAAGCAATGAAGGCACAGAAAATCCTGTTGCTGTTAAATGAAGTCAGGAGATAATCCCTCTGAAACATACATGCACACATTAAATATCCTCTTTTTAATTATTTTGCAGTTTTTTAAAGAGCAAATTACATAAATGTACACTGCATTTGAACACTGAATATCTGTGCACACAGAGTATCTAAATCTTGCTTCTTTCACAGCAATTTTACATCAGTGTGACAATAATGACTTTAATGGAATTACTCCAATTTTACATGGGGCTAAGTGAGATCAGAATCTGGCTCTTAGGCCTATAAACATTTCAAAAGTGATTAGTGATTTTGAGTGCCTCTGCGTTTGGGTGCCCATCAAGAGATGCATTAAAGGAGTCTGTTTAGAAAGTACTGAGCACCTGCCCTCTGAAAACCAAACTGCTTTAAGGGCGTTAAGATGTGCACCCAAAAATTGAGACCCTCAAAAACATTAGTTACTCTTGAAAATTTAGGCCTTAATATTTAGTGACCAACTGACATAACTGTATATTAGAGCTTGTTTAATAACTGTCAAATCTGTTAAAACATATCTTTAATATCATGAAATATAGGCCCTTTTCTGATTAGGGACAATTGGCCTGATCCTCAGTTGGTGTAAATAGATGTAAATCTCTTAGGAACTATGTCTATTCACACCAGCTATTCTAATGTGATCCAATAACAGTTTTGCCTTCAAAGAAAGCAGCATGGAGCAAGCCTTGAGAGCTATCTTGCCTGGAGATGACATATTATGTACAAACTCTGCATTCTGAATAGCTGGTAAGCTTGAGTGCCACTTAAAATAAGCCAAACACACTTGGAACAATATCCTATTTGAAAGAGTGGGTGCTGTTTTGGGGCCTGATTCTGATCTCTACTGTTAAAGGAGTACTACTTGCACTGAAGTCAATGGACTTCATCAGTATAAAACAAGGTGAATTCAAAACCAGGCCCTTTTTAATGTTTATTTTGTAGTATCAGAGCAAGGCCATCAGCCCTTTGTGTATGGAATTATTTCTTGTTTCTTTTTCTTGAGGTTATCATTAGTCACAGGAGACTCAAAACTATGTTGATCTGTGAAAAATAAGATTACTCATTCTTAGAACCTGTATTGCTCCACTTCTTTTGCTAGATGTTATGTACTTTTAGATATATCAAATCATTCCGATGCTGAGATTATGGATGTAAAGGAGAGTAATCAAAGATTTAAAAGCATTATATTTCTAGTTATTCACAATTTTGTGGGAAACTATGTATTCTGCAATTCTTTGTCCTACTTATCCCTCACCTAGCCCACTCCTCTGCCCTCTTAACACCTCCTCCACACTACCTTATTGAAAGTAAGTGTTAGTGTCTCTGAGCCATGCATTGTATTCCACTAACACAAAACATCACCCTTTGGATCATACTCCATCATTTGTGGTTTGTCAGGGAAAAAATAAATAAAGAAAAAAAAAGTGGCAAGATTTTTCAGGCTCTATTCAACTATCATTTAAAAAAGACATTACACGGTGTGAAAAAGCCCTCATATATTTGGTTTATGGTTTGAAATGTGAATTTAGCTCCTAAAGGCTGGGATTGGAATTAAGATAGGAACATTGTGCAGATTAACAAAACTCTTTTCTACAATCATCAGAAGATCCCATTATATGTTTAAGATTAGAAGACTGGTAACTCTGGGGAGGAAAAGAAGGAATCAAAGTAATTCACTAAGTGACTAGGAAACACTGACATTTCATGAGAAGCTGGGAAGATGGTCCTACTCCCCTTGACCCTATCAGGCAAAGTGCTGAGCCTTGTCAACAGGCAGGGTAGGGGTTCAATAGTTTGCAGAATCAAATCCTTTAAGAGCCAGGAAGTTGGATCTGCTTTTACTCCTTAATCTCCCTTCTAATGGTTTTTTAAGGAGCAAAAACCCTGCTTGTTCCAGAAAAGTTTGAAAACGTATTTGCTCCTGAGACCTAACCCTTTATACACTTATGCATGTGTGTAGTCCCATTGAAAAGTTATGTACCTGGGTAAGTATTTGCAAGTTGGAGCAATGAATCACTTCTTTAGAGCAGTTATCAGAGGTATGGAAATCAGAGTAGTTAGCAGGTGTCAGGACCTTACAGGTTAAAGCCCACAACTGGGGCTATTTTGAAATCTATTTTTCTAAACTACAGTTTACACCTTTCCAAAAACTATGCTGTGGTTATCTGGTGGATAAGGTAAGGAGTGGATGAGGAGTTGCTGATTTTCCTTGAAAATCTGATTATAGGAATTCAGTCTCAGAGTTGGGACTATTTCAGGGGTGGGGGGAAGAGATTTAAATTCTCATAAGACCGCTTTCACTTTTACACACATTTCATATCTGTAGTCTCATGTGCAGATGACATTTTTAAAAAGGCTGGTTTGTGTTTAGTTTCAACTGCAGCCCTATAAAAATAAAATGGTCCAGTCAAGCCAGTGCCCAGGCCAACTGGCAATGCTCAATGAGCGCTATCTAAAGTACAGAGGCATTGCAAAGAAAAGCATCCAGCCATGCTAATTCAGTGTCCGTGGGTCATGCTGCACTTTAGCCAGGGTTAAAATAATCCCTGAAGCACTGACCGCGGGGTGAGGAGGGGCATTTTTAACATACCTGACTCCAGCAGCACTAGCCCTGAACCATTCCCAACCAGCCACTGGCAGGGCCTTTCGCAAGAGACTAAAACTGCCCCACGGGTTAAGAATCCAGAGAAACCAGCATGGCGGGGACAGGAAGGTCTCCAACCCCTGCCCATGACTTGATGTGTAGGAGAGGGGGGTAGTTCCTCAGACACTGCACGAAGAAGGGGAGGGGACTGCGCTGCAGATAGTGCACCACGCAGCCTTCAACCCTGCCTGCCCCTTCGGCCTCATCCTTCCCCTCCCTGCTGGCCCTGGCCCGGGCTCTGCGCTTCAGCTGCCCCCCTCAGCACCCGCCCTGCACAAACAGGCACCTGCCTCCCGAGCCCCCGCCTGCCCCACTCGCCCCCGGCCCCCCAGCCGGGCCGGGCTCTCCCGCGCCGCCGGCGCCCGCCTCTGCTGCCCCCAACCTCCCGCCGAGCCGGGCTCCGAAGGGCCCGTCCCGCCCTGCCCGCGCGCTTGGCCCCGCGGCAGCCCCCAGCCCCATCCTGCCCCCCGGCGGGGTCCGGCGGGAAAGCCGCAGCCGCCTTCCCTCGGCAGATGGCAGTCACGGCTCGCTGCGCGCCGCGCGGGCTGCCCGGCTCCGCGCCCCGCCGGGCTCGGCGCTGCCTACTGGCGGAGGGGCTGGTGCCCTGCGGGTGCGGGTGGATCCGCGGGAGCGTGGGGCGGGGGGGGGGGCGCGGAGCATCCCCCGGGATGGAGCTGCCCGGTGCCAGCAGCGCTTGGCTGCAGACAGACCCTGCTCCTCCTCCGTCTCCCCCGCCTCCGCCTCCCTCCCCGCCCCAGCCCCCTCGGCTGCTGCGGGCCAGGGGCTGCCACATCGCCCGGCCTCCCCAGTTCCCTCGCCCTCCCCAGCCCACCTCCCCCCCCCCCCCCCGCCCCCTCCTCCCCCCCCCCCCCCTCGCTGCTGACGTCTGGCTCTGCCCGTCTGAAAACTCCGCGCCGCGGCGGATGCGGCGGCTTTCAGGGGCTCGGCAGCGGCAGCCGCGGCGAAGATGGTGGCGGCTCCGTGCGCTCGCAGGCTGGCCCGGCGCTCGCACTCGGCGCTCATCGCGGCGCTCACCGTGCTGCTCCTGCAGACCCTGGTGGTGTGGAATTTCAGCAGCCTGGACTCCGGCGAGGAGCAGCGGGCCGGCGGCGGCCGGGAGAAGCGGGACCGGGGCGGCGGCGGCGCCGGTGAGAGCAGCGACCACCGGGCGCATCAGCACCGCAGAGGACCTGCTGCATTCCACAGCAAGGCGCTGGTAGGTGCTGCCGCCCCCCCGCCGACCCCCATTCGCAGCCCGCCCCAACCCTGGCACCGGGGGGACCCGAAGGCTGCAGCGCGCCCCGGTCCCCCCCCCCCTTTGCACTTGGCCAGCTCGGCGGCGGCGGTGTAATTAATCGACTCTTCTCAGCAGGGTCGGGTTGGCCCCTTGCAAGTCTGCAAGAGGCATTCGGGCAGCTTCTTGCGTCTGCGTCGGGGGGAGGGGGCGATATGCATTTCCAGAACCCCAGGGCTTGGACCGGGGGAGGGGGGGAAGAGAAAATCTGCTGGTGGCTTTTAAAGTGCAGTGGGGAGAGAAAGGCAAGAAGTTCTGCGGATGGGCGCCGGGTGGTTTTCGTGATCAGTGCCTGCGCTGTAAGTGCCGTTAGAAGGCACGGGCAGGTAATTGATTGAAAAAGATCCAGCCTGGAGCCGCTCTGAAAACTTTGAAAGACGCTGCTCCGCTGCTGGAGTCATCGCTTTAACCGCGGCGGGGGGGGGGGGGGGGGGGAGTCCTGCAAAGTTAGAACGGAATGGGACCGATGTGCTGTAATTTCTCCGCTGGCCAGCAAGGCTCCCACCCCCAACCTTTGGAAGTAGCCGTGCTTGAGATGGCACGATCTAGGCACAGAAAACCTCCTTGGCGCTAGCCAGCGCTGGGGTTGTTCAGAACAGTCCGTGGAGGTGCTGTATTATTTATACATCATCACAGTGACGTATTTGTTTTAAACATTCCCTCCCTCCCCCCATCTACACCCTGCATGCCTGCAAATCTGCTTTCTAAGGATTTCAGTCGCGGGAATGGGACTGTGCTTATTGATTGAGCATCGTTTCATGTTCATGAGGGTTCTTGCGCGCTGGCTGGGCGCTGCTGTGGGAATGGCTTGTTGTACTCATAGGCTTGTCACTCACGTTTCCTGTGGTGTGAAAGTGACAAAGGAGCAGACAGCGCTGCAGCGGCGTTTTCTACTCCCCTGGCTGCTGGCAGCAGGAGACAGACCTACTAGACTCCGCTTTCCCATCATGTCACTCCTCTCTAGGAAAGGAGACTGTAACATTTTAACCCCTCCCCCCCTTCTCCCCGCAGGCTTGGTTCTCTCCACCTCAAATCTTGACTCTGCTCTTGCTCTTCACTCTAGAGCCCTTCACCTTGGAGTGCAGCTTTCCTATCCTATGGAAGAAAGTGATGTAGCTATTGAGTGTCTCTCTCCTCTTAGGGACTGAACCAGGCTCACAAGAATTCTCCCTAAAGAAAGTGAACAAACAGCAGGGGACCTAGTTATAAAACAGCAACAAAGGAAAATGCTTTAATGGGATCCTCTATTATTAGAAGTCCTCTTTTGAGACTTAATTATATTTTGAAATGCATCATTTTCTGAATCTTCCAAACTTCAGTCTGGTGTAGTTATCTCACTGATACATTCTTAAGGCCTTTACTATGCTGCTTTTTTGCATCTGAAAAACACACGGACACTATTCTTGATTGCACAACTGTATCAGGTACAGCAGGCAACCAGTGGTGAAATTTAATGCAATAATTTATTAGCCCACTAAGAATTAAATTATTTATTTTTTGCATACTCTCAAATGTTTATTTAAATTGCTTGAGCCTGGAACCACTGCATTTTCACAAAAGTAATTAGAAATTAAAAAAGTTATATTTCTGAATTGCAAACAGGCATGCAGTGGTATAGGTTTCCAAAGAAATTAATATGAAGCCCAAAATGTATTTCATTATGTATAAATGGTATTTAGTTTTCTGTAGTTCAAGAGAAGCTTCCTTTGTTTATGAGCTTTGCTTTAATAGACTTCTATGTAAATCTGATTTAGGGAAGTTTTGCGTTGTCCCTTTTCAGATATGCACATTCTCTTTGTATCTATTTCTATCTCTGTATACATCATAAGAGAGAAAGCAAGAGTCTAGGGTTAGCTATGTCTTGTCTTCATAGATGACTGTGGGTGTCCCAACCACAAGTATGTTTTATGAAATCATCCCCTGTAATAAGAATAGATTAATGTTCTGTTGCTAAAATTCAGGGACGGTCTTCTGGAAGATTGCATACACTGTACCAGTGTGTGTGTTGAGCTTTTTTCAGCTTCCAAATAAAAGAATCTAAAATTCCTGCTTACTAAAATTAGCTTTTCTCTTGCTTTATTTTTACACAGTCCTCTCACTTTAATGACTTGTGTTCTGAAATTTTACATGTCAAACTTTACCATCTTTCTCCTAGTATTCTGCCCTGTGCTCTCTTTTTCCATTTATGTCGCTGTTTTCAGACCTCCTTTTTTCTCAAGCTGTTTCTCCCATCCCTCCAGTCTTGTATTTAGTTGTTGTCACATCAGGATTTATTTATTAAAGCAAAGTCACAGCTGTGACTTCTTTCAGGCCCAGGAGTCAACCTGAAACAAGTTTGCACCTATGTGCCCCTAGTATAACCAAAGGAAGGGGGCAGGCTCATCCTGAGGTCCTGTGGAGAAAATGCCTGTTATGAGCTCTGAACTGCAAGGGGCCATAAGACCATCATGTACTGGAACATGAAAGAATAGGACTGTGAAGTCTACGAAAAAGCTCACAAGGTTTTCTTGAAAATACAGCATTATGAACTGCCCATACAGCTTTGCTACTAAAAGTGAAGAAGATAATGTGCTGTCACTCAACATGCTGATGTTGTACAAAGTCCTGAAATATTGGCTGTGTGATGCTCACAGTATTAAAACAGATATTTCAGTGCTTCTTACATCATTTGTGGATATGCATATTTAGAATAATATTTTCATGCTGGCGATTAGCAGTCATTCCTTTATACGTTTGCTTTCGTTAAAGACGTAAATACTGAGTGATCCGGCTCCTTTTGAATCATGGTTTAGATAACCTGCTGTGTAAACACGTTCTATGAACTTATTATCCCTACATTTGCTACGGCCTGGTCTACTCTTAAAAATTAGATCGACATAACTACATGGCAGAGCTGTGAAAAATTTTGTATCTTGACCACCGTAGTTAGGTCAACCTAACCCTTAGTGTAGATGCAGCTAGGTTGATAGAAAAATTCTTCTATCGACCTACTTACCTCCTCTTTGAGAGGTAGATTAATGCATCAATGGAAAAACCCCTTCTGTTGATGTAGGAGGTGTCTACACTACAGCGACACAGATGCCGCTGTGCTGGTCTAGCATAGACAAACCCTAAGTAACCAGTGGGTGTCCCACTGAGCCATGCCACAGTATCTTAAATATGTTCTGAAACAAACAATAATGTTGTATAAACAATATACACATGCGGTGTGTGGATAGATGATTTGGCAACACTTGTGGCTTTGCTTAAACTGCACCCCTCAGAGTGGTGACCATCTTTACACTTACTTCATCAGCAGTATACCCACCCACTAAGCATCCATTTGATGACTAAAACATGTGCTTGATGGACCACAAATTGGATTTTTTGCAAATTTCTGGTAGAAATCAAACTAAGTATGAAAGATAAAGAGCTCTACTTAATATTCTGTCAACCCCTTTGAAGTTGGTAGGCTAAATTCGCAAACTACTGACCTACAACTGTCTTTTCCACAGATACATTGTTCATCTCAGTGACATGCACATGACTGTCTTTATATTTAGGGGTGCACATTTGCTTATGTCAGATATGAAATATTAGCAAGAAATTTTTAGGAACATAGGGCCTGATTCTGATCCACACGGTATATAGGGATTAGCCCTATTAAGCTTTCTGGATCCCCAGAGACTACAAGCGACCGCTGGGCAGACCGAAAACGTGCTGGGCTGATCCCATGACAAAACGCTTTGGCCAGAAATGGAAAGAACGTACTCGTAACAAAATAGAATGGTGCGGCGTCAACTTGCGTTCATGGAGGGACAGACGAGGACAAGCCAGAGAAAAGTGAAGGTCAATGGAGTTACACCAGTATTAAAATCTGTGTAGGAGAAAACTCCGGCCCATAATTTCTGGTGCTCTGTTTTTATGTTAAAACACAATTTATATACTTCCTGAGCTAGTTTAGGTTTTCCTTTTTCAGCCTAAATTTCCCATAGTTTGCATTTATCAAATTTATCAAATTTGTTATAGGATATTTTGAAAAGTTGGCTGCACTGAGTACAGTAGCTCCATTATACCCAAACAACTCTAGGGCTTAACCATTTCAAGAAGTTTTTGACACAAAGTACTTTATTCAAAGTACTATATATCCTCGCCGTTTATTTTTTTTTTCAGTTTAATCATAAGAGCACAGAATGCAGTTTGTTCTAGACTATTTTTACTATTCATTCAGTCTGTTAACTGGACACTAGTGTTAAAATACTCATTGATGTGCCCAAAGGGAAGAACTGAATGTATCCATCTGTGTGAAATAGTGGATACGTTGATCACTTTTCCTCCCTCCAGGAGAGTCCATAATCATATTAAAAATATCTCTAGACTTTTTTTTTTAGCAAGAGCCACTTGTACATTAGATCCAACTTATTTTCTAATGTTTGCATAGAAAATATTTTGGACATTTGCTGAAGGTGGAACTTCCAAAAGCTCTGTCCAAATTTTGCCACATATGGCTAAAATCTTTATTTTTAATTTTCCCTCCTTTTTTTGCTTCTGATCAGTGTGCAGAAATATATACAAGTATTAAAGAATGACATTTATTTTATTGTACTGAATCAAACAGTAAGAGGTAAATAGTGTGGGGTTTCGGTAATCTACTTCTGTAGGAAAAGAAACAATTTTTGAACCAAGTGTTTAAGGGGTATTTAGATTTATTCTAAATGCCATCAGATACATATAATAAGAAATTTCACTTGCAAAATGAAAAAAACTGCATTATAGTAAAAATGTTAGCATTGTACCTGGGTATAATTAAATGCAAACTGCCAACTTGGCATAAAGAAATAATTTTGAATTGAGCTATTCTGCAAGTGAAAAAATTTACTGTGCTAGATCCTCTAGCCAGCTACAGCTGCCGTTTTCATTACTCATAAGCCAGTTTCCTGCTG